GTTATTAGATAGAAAATTGTTTTATTTTGAATTTTTGAAGGAAAAATTTTTTTTGAAATTTTTAATAAATATTTTCATTAAATATTTTGTAAAAAAATTTATTAAAATTTAGAATGAGAGGTACTAAAGGTTTAGCATTGGACAGGCATTTATCTTGAGAGCTCATGCCATTTATTGCTAGGAGCGTACAGGCGCTCTACCGACAGAGCTTTCTCACCTTCCCTTTTAAGAAGTTGAAGGATTTGTGGAAAGAACGTTCACATTAAATCAGTCTTAATTGAGAATTAATTGAGAACCTCAGTCTTAATTGAGAATTTTTTGTTTACTCTCCTTTGTGAGGTTTACTTGTTTAATAATGGATCATGCTCAATCATTTTTTTAAGCTAAAAAAAATATCTTTTAAACACCAATAAAAAAATTAACTATAATTCGTTATTCACCCAATTTTCTACCAAATAATTATTAAAATTTTCAAAAAATATTTAAAAAAAAATTTCTCCAAATTCAAAAAAATTTTTTGCTTTTTGCTAATTTTTTCCTTAAAATCCAAAAAAAATTTCAGTTAGCAATTCTTCTTTAATTAGCAATTCTTTTATTTTTTTCAATTTCCCATAGCCTACTTATCACCTTTTTAAAAAAGTTATTTTTAAAAGCCGTAAAATTGACACAAAAATTTTTTAAAAAAATAAGGAAAAGAAGAGAACATGGGAAAATTTTAATGACATTTTTTCTGTTATATTTTACTTGTTAAAATTAAATTTTCCTTTTCTTCTATTTGTTTTTGAAGGGTTTAAAGATTAAAATTTCTTAAAATATATTTTTTAAAATTAAAATAATATTTATTTAATTAAAGTTAATTTTATAAAAAGAGGATAAAATTGACAAGAAGTAGGCTAAAAATAAATTTCTTTTTTATTCATAAGGTGTAAAATACTTGAAATATTTAATTTAAAATAAAATTTTTCTTTTGTTACTTTTCACAAAAAAAACGTTTTTCTTGTCGAATTTTACAATCTTTATTTAGGATCAAAGCAGTTTTTATTACCGTTCTTTAGAACAGGGATAAAAACGATTTGAGGTAACTTCTGAGAACCCGACCCGCCTTTTCCTAAATCCATCTCTGCTGTATATCAAATCCCTGACGACCTAATTAGTAGATATCTACAAGAGATTATTGGACTATACTCCGGGCTTTGCTACTGGATTCGACAATCTTGAACTAGACACCAGTGCTTGGAAATTTCAGAATCTTACCTCGCACAACCCCTAATTTTTGCTTCGTACTTGTAGTTAATACCATGTACGAGGGGGGTAGACACTCGTCTAGAACCTCGTCTACGAATAAAGAGTTATAACTTAAAATTCTTTTACTTTTTCTAAAATACTGTAATGTACATAGTAGATATAATATTCCTAAGTTATGCCGGAGATGCGTGGTGTAATTGATAACACATCACCGGTCAAAGGATGATGCTGGTTCGCTCCCAGCCGTCTACATTTACATTTTAGCTTTAGCTTACATCTCTACAAAATTTTCATCTTTCTTTACTAGCCCAGTCCAGCTTTCTTTTCTAGATATTTCTATTTATATTACATATTATTTAACTAATTAAAAATCTTTAGTAAAAGACCATTAAAAATTGAGGCAATTTAATAAAAATATAAATAAACAAATCAAAAAACAAACAAAAAAGTGCAAATAAACGCAACAATTTTCTTTAAAATTTTTTTATTTTAAAAAATATTTACTATTTTTTCCGTTTAGATAATCTTTCTTTGAGAAAAATATCCTCAAAATGTACTTTATTTCCTTATTTTTAATAGTATTTATATTTATATCTAAATGATGCCATTGAAAAATATGAAGAGTTGTGAGCCAAACCCCCGGTTTGAGCTTTAAAATTTTATGTAATGTACTTAAATTTATTATACCTATATCTTGTTGAAAAATTTCAGAATTCCTGTTTATCTATTTGTCATGTTATGGACAAATACTTAATCTTCTCAGAAGGATTTATCTCCTCGAAAGTGTCAAACAGATCCTCTAGAAATTTAAAAATTTTTTGTTGTTTAGTTCAAGAGTTGAGCCAAAAATCACTTCATTATTGTAAATTTATCAATGTTTTTGATGATCTTTTTTGACCAAACTTTATTAAATAATTAATCAAAATTAGCTAATTTTTAGTAAAATTAGCTTGAATATCTATTCTCTCATATCTATTCAAAAAAAATTTTAAACATACCAAAATATCAACAAAATATATTTGTCTCAAGAAGCACTTTTAAAAAGTATTTTTTGGTTTATTTTTTTATTTTTACTACCTAAAGAGAAAAATAATCTCGTCATTTTAATGGCAGGATTTTTAGTAATTGCAGCAAAAATATTATTGCAGTACCTCTTTTCGAATTCCTTCCATCTCTCCATTTCCTTTTAAGTTAAACATATCTTTATCTAACTCAAAACTTGTAATAATTCTAGTATATTATCTAAAATTTTGGAAAATTATTTCCAAAAATATTTATGCATGATAGATATAAGTTGATTTATTTAATAAATTAATTTTAATAAGAGATTAAGTCATCTCCTCACATATACATAGTCGGAAATGATTCCCGGATTTTTACATGTTTCATTTTTAAGTTTCATTTTTTTGTGGACAGAAGCGGCAAATCACGCTTAATGATTCCGATCTATCTCACGTTATTGTAGAGAAGGGCAGGTCAAAAGCAGATCTATCAGGTAAAAGCATGTCTATCCTTGGGATTCTAATCAAAACCGCGGAAATTTAAAATAATTTTCTTCCTTCATTCGTCCGTTTAAAATTTTGAAATAGTAAAGTTCTCAGGTTATTACGTATTTTTTGCATTTTTTCATGCAATTTTTTTGGTAAAATAGATTAGGTCATAAAACCTATGTACAAAAAATCCAATTAGCGTAAAACAATAAAATTTGTATTTATTTAAATAGCGGAAAATTTAATTTTGTTTTTCCACTAAAACACTGAAGCAAAAAAATTTTTTAAATTAAATTAAATTTTTAAACCTCTAATTTTATTTTAAACTCCGAAAATTCAATTTTTTAAATCTCGACAAACGTCTTCCTTACAATAAGCTATACTGGCAATAATTTGTCTCCTTGGTTAAGTCGAATAATTTTGGGTTTCCTAAAATAAAGGTTGCGGGTTCGAATCCGATTGGCGGAAAACAATTTTTATTTTAATAAGGAACATTTATTTGAAGGAAAAATTAATAATTATGACTCTAAAAAATTTTTAAAATTAAAAAAGTTGACAATTTATCCCTATTTTTAATTTTTTTCACTTATTTTTTGAAATTTTGTTCTTTTAAATTTTTCTTCTTTAAACTTTGCATATTTCTTAACATTTAAAACTTAATAAAAAAGAATCCTCAATAAATTAGATTCAGATTTTAATATTCTACACATTTTATTTATCTTTATGACTATAAAGCTTTGACGCAATTTAAATAAAAATTATTTATTAGCTAACTCATAAAAGTTTTCTCTTATTGTCGTCATTTAAAAGGGCAATAAATTCTTTATTTATTCAGACAAAATTAAACCCCAAACTCTTTTAAATTTTATTATTTTTCCTAAACTTTAATTTAAATTTAAGTTTATTCTAATAGATCACCACTAATATTTTAGTGGTGATCTTTTGGATCGGGTCTATATTAGCTTATTCATTCCTTGTTTTAAGACTTTAATTTTTTTATTTTTTAAAATAAAATTATATTAAATTGCTTAGTATAAAGAACAGTATGCCCTTGAGATAAATTAGTGGGTATTTTGAAGAAAATTTTTTTAATTTTTAATGAAAATTATTAGAACGTTTCATAATACCGTATATTAGTGATGTTCGTGATTCTCGGTCTCGACTCTCGAATCTGAAATTATTTGGGTTTTTGGGCTATCGGTCTCGACTCTCGGTTTCGATTCTCGATTTGGTCTCGGTCTCGGGGTATATTCTCGGTCTCGACTCTCGGCTTTTTTTTGACTCTCGAACATCACTAGGTATATACAACAACAATTTGAAAAATTAGAACTCCCTGAATACCTAATCAAAAATTCTCAAATTTTGGTTCATATTAGAAAACACTCTAAAGAATATATATCCGAAATTTCAAAACTTTTGAACTATTAGAAAAAAGTCTATACTTATTTTTAAAAATGTTAGTAAGGTCTCAGGTTGCCTTCTATTAGTAGAGGAAAAGGGAAGTTTCCTTTTATTTTTAATTAAAAGGACAGTTTAGGATAAGTGTTAAATAAATTTTATAAATAAAAACAAATAAAATTCACTCAGAATTTAATTTAAAAAACAAAAATTCACTTATTTTTGGCTTTAAACATTTTTCTTTCGTACTTTTTTTGCCTAGACTTTGCGAGTGTTTTTTAATATTTTATTAAAGTACATAGACAAATGTATGGAAATAAAACGAAAAGGAAATAAAAATTAAATTATTTATTTATTGTTTTTTGACGAAATTTTTGAGTAAAATGGATTATTTATTTTTTTTTTTGCTCTTTTAACTTTTTTTTATTGAATGAATTGTTGCGTTTATTTATTTTTTGACAAAATTTTATTATATCCCCTTAAGTTTTTGATTTTTAATCCTCAAAATTTCATTTTTTGACTTTTCCTCGCTTTTTAAAGCTCGAAAATTTAATTTTTAAACTCCATAATACGTCTATATTTCCATTAAACAAGAATGGCAAAAATTGGTCTTTGTGGTTAAATTGGATAAATTTCAGATTTTCAAAATTAAAGGTCGTGGGTTCGAATCCGTTTGGAGGAAAACAATATTTATATTAAAGAGAAAAATTTATTTGATGGAAAATTAGCAAATTCAAAATTTAGAAAATATTTAAAAATTTTAAAAATGACAATTTATCCCAATTTTTGTGTTTATTCAAAATTTAAATATTATTACAGTAAAAAATAATTTAATAAACAAATAAATAAACAAATAATTTATTTAAAATGTTTGCTCAACATTTTTTAAAATATTTATGTTTCTCTCTTTTGTTTTTCTCTTTTGCTGAACAACATAATGTTTTTGCCTCCCAACAAAAACATGCAAAAACAAGTTTAATTAAAAATGAAAGAAATGAACAACAAAAACAACAACTAAAACCCTCAAAACAACCCCCAAAACAAACAAAAACATCAAAACAAACAAAAACAACATTGTTTACAACAACTAAAACACCAAAAACATTGAAAACAACACAACAACCCCCTTGTCTTTTACAAGATTCTGTTCATAGAAAAAGTGTTTTGACTGATGTTTTGTCGGGGTATGACAAAACTGTTCTTCCTTCTAATGAAAGTGTTGTTGTTAGTGTTGAATTGACTGTTCAGGCAAGTTTTGTTGTTTATTGTTTGGATAGGTCTTTCGTTCGTGCAAAAGAAAGCTTGAAGAGAGATGTTTAGCTTCTTTCCAGGATCATGCTTTCTGGCACAACTTATGTATTTCTTGACAGATTTTAATAATTTTTATATCAATCGGAAGCTTTAGATGTGGGGGTTATTTTACTAAGCAAAGTTATTCGGATCAAATTATTATATTAAAAGTTACAACCGGAAAAGTGCGCTCAATCGTGATTTTAGAGCATTATTTTGCTCTAACTTTATATGATATTCTGACTAAATGAACCATGCTATGCAAAATAATCCGCAAATCCAGACTGGGGATGGACGCCAAAAAATTCAAACCCCGTAAATTGATTCACACAATTTTTAGGATATTTCCACAATCTCAGAAATCACTGGTTCATTTGTTGCAGATGTCTGGTTTTCTCAAATTTGGCTTGACCCTCGATTAGAATATTGGAATTATTCGTGTAAATCTAATCTTTCGTTAGACTCTTCTGTTGCGGATAAGGTGTTTTATTCAATTTATCTTCCTGTTATAAGGGCACCGGTTATTAGATCACCATTGGAGGGGTTCTTTTGGGGGGGGGGGCTTTAGTCGGAAAGGATTGCTTCCGAAGGCATTGCACAACTTTCACAAGCCCACCTAATTCTTATCCCTAGATATGATCTTATAACGAAAAGTATCAAATATTTTTTAAACAGCTTTGGACACCAAATGTTTGTTTTGTTAACAGCAAAGAAACAAAAGTACATCGTTCACCCAGCAATAATGTTTTATTGATAATATATCCAAATGGTAATTATAATATACAGCGGACCTCATTTTAAGATACATTCGATACAAGATACACCTCTATTTAAGATACACATTTTAAGGTTTGATTGGCCATAGGGTGGGAGGCTACCAAAGGGATGTAATATTGCGACTTTTACTGAGTTTGGCCTTTTTTCATGTACCGAATTTCGTTTTAGCACACTCTGCTCGAGACTATACCTCCCTTTAAGATACCACTAATTATAAGAGGGAGTTTTGTACCCGAAGGTGGACATATCTTTTTATGAGGTCCGACAAATTTAATCATTATTTGAATTAATTTTAAAGGCACAATATGGTTGAATTATCGTGTTAGAGTTAGTGGTCCCTGTACTTTTACACTGTCCCAATTTCCCTTAGATCATCAAGAATGTGTTTTGATTTTTGAATCTTATTCTTACAATATTGCAGAAGTAAATAAAAAATTTTTCTGATTTGGAAAAATTTTTTAAAGGTCCGTCTAATATGGCAAGAATGGGCACCAGTTACTATACCTCCACCTGAAGCTCTTCAATTACCCGATTTTCATTTTTATAATGTTAGCTGGGAGACACAAATGAATGAATACACTGCAGGTAATTAAGTATTTTAAGTCAGATCTCGATTAATGAAGATTATTCTTATAAAGAGGAGTATAATAAATATGTAGAACGGCCCGGTTCGATAAAAATGAGGCCCTGAAAAATGTCTCGAACGTCGGCCCGACTCGAAAACGGCAATCCTAATCATTTTATGGTATTAAGATTTTAATTGGAAATTTTGGGTTTGAGGCGTTCGTAAGCCCCTGCAAATGGTAAAGTTAGTACATTGTTGGAAAAGGAAAAGTTCATCAATTTTGCTAGGAATTTTATAGCAACTCAGACATTCTGAGCTCAAGTAAGATCTAAACTTTTTTGTTAACACGGGAATACACTTATACAATAATTTTGCGCCCATCATCGCTTCATGAGCTCTAGAATAATCCCTTATATCAGAAATATATTCTAGCTGATTAAAAACTTGAATAATTTTTTCCAGGTGCTTGGGACCAATTGAAAGTAACATTTCGTTTTAAACGTTTATATGGCTATTATATACTCCAAATGTATTTACCAACATATTTGTCTGTTTTTATCTCTTGGATTGCTTTTTGGCTTGATTCACGTGCCTTGCCTGCAAGAATAACTTTGGGTGTTTCTAGTCTTATGGCTTTAACTTTTCAATTTGGAAATGTTGTTAAAAACCTTCCTAGAGTTAGCTTTGTTAAGGTAAATAAATTAAAAAGTTTGTCTTGTATAAATAAAGAAAGAAAAAAAGTATGTCGGGTAGAAAAACTCCAGCACTTGTAAATTTATATTTTACTCCCTATCTAAAATTTAAATATTTTCTTTGTATAAGTAAAGTAGTCTGTTGATTATTCGAGTTTAATAAAGTATGCGGATTCATATATAAATACTAGTAACTTGGAAGATTTGAGGTTTGCTCTATTTATTATAGAGCTTCAAATTTTATCTGTCTTAATTCTTTTGTCAATACCGTTTTGTTCAAGGCGGTCAATATTAATGCCCGTGATGTCCCTTTCTTCGGTCTGATCTCTATTTTAAAAAAATTTTTAAATATGGTTCCGTTATAAGTTTATTCAGAAATGAATTCACTCTATTCATAATTAGGGCGTGTCAAAACATGCAAATGCATATTTTGCATGCGGATATGCCATGAGCTGAAACGCTCAAAAATGGTGTTTTTACGTCTGTACGAACACTAGGGACCGGGTTCCTATAGCATATTTTTGCATATTTCATTACTTTCGTGCATATTTGCATATTGATGCATATTTTGGGAACTTTTGCATATTTTTACCTAAATTTGAACATATTTTGGCATTTTTTGAGAAATTTGTAGTTTAAAAATTATTTTTTAGCATAATATAAAATTTTTTGAAAAATTTTTTAAAGAAATTTTTTTGTAAAATTTTTTCGAAAAATATTTCTGGAAAATTTGCTTCAAAATTTTTTTTCCTAAATTTAAAGTCCGTAGAATTCTTTAGAAGTGCTCTAAATTGCTATTTTAAAGACTAAATCATCGTTTTTACAAAAATATTAAGTTTTGTAGCACATTTTTACTGTTTTTTGCTGCATATCTCGTGCATATTTTGGAAAATTTTGTTTATTTTAGTGCATATTTAGGCCTTTTTCGGTTCATATATATGCGCATATTTTGGGATTTTCCGTGCATATTTTGACACGCCCTATTCATAATTTATTCTACTTTTAAGGCAATTGATTTATGGTTTTTTGTTTGCGTATCCTTCATTTTCTCATCTCTAGTTGAACTTGCAATTGTTGGATTTGCAGAAAAACGATCGGATCAGAAACGACAAAAGAGTAAGAAAAGTTGGAGGAAACAAACAATTAAGAATAACAATAATTCTACGATAAAAAGGTAAAGAGCTTAAATTCATTAGATTGAAGACAACGACAGCTGGAAGATTAACACCATATTAATCATTAATTTTAGCTTTGCTTCTACCTCTTCAGATTCCACATGTACAAACCCAAATTTATATTTACAAAATTCAATTACACAAAATGGCCATTCACCTATTGTAATTGATAAATGGCCGGAAGGACCACAAAAAGCTGCTCTATTTAATAAAGTTTCTCGTTCATTATCTCCTAGGGAAAGGAGAAAACGGTATAGCTTGCTGGAATCTCCTAGCAGGTATCTAATTGGAACATTTAGACTTCTTTATAGAATACGGCCCTTACTAGATACACCTCAATTTAAATTTTTATAAATCGGTTGGTCTCGAGTTGGTTGAGACTTTATAAGGAAACGTTTACAAGATCCGTTGACTGTCAAGTGTTTTGTTCTGCATATTTTATCTTCAGGCATTTGACACTCAACGCTTGACATGGATGCCTTTGTAAACACCATGTAAGCGAATGAGATGCAGGGATTTAGTTCTAAAGGGTTTACTAAAAGTGAGGCCAGGGTGTATTCTAATCCTTAACATATCTGTTTTAATAACTAATTTAATTAAAAAATAGTATTGATGAATCACCATATCAATCCAAAGCAGACGATTTAAGCATTAAAGTAGATTCTTTTGCTGCAAAAATGTTTCCCACATTGTTTGCTTTATTTAATGGTAGTAATTATATTTTAAGAAAAATTTATTTCAATTTATTCAGCTTTATATTGGTGGTATTATTTAACAAGGCATTGAACAAAGATTTTTTAATTTGATTCTCATCTGCCTTATAATATTTTATTTAAATTTTAATATTATTATTACTCTTATTTTTAATAAATTTTGAATTATTAGAAGTTTTAAATTAAATATTTACCCATTCTTATACCATCATATTAATTAAACTCTATTTTTATTGGGAAAATAACGTTATTAGAAAAAAAATCCTAACGTAACAGCAGTATTTATCAGAGTTTTAAAACATTTTTTAATAAAAATATTTTTTAACAAAATATCGATAAGGTATCGATGTATTTCCATTAATTATTAAAACATTTTAACAAAATTATTTTAAAACACCGGTATAAATAAAACTTTTGAGAATAATCTTCATATCAGGTCTCAATCTGAGGAACTGCCCGGATCTTCAATAAACATCGATTTAAGTTATGTTAATGGGAATTCCCACTTTGTCAAAAACTTCTCCAAAAGATCCTTTCAATTCAGAGCATTGCCCACTGTGCGCTCGAAAAAGGATCCAACAAATCAATAAGGTATCGATGGTTTTCCATTAATAATAGATAAACCATAAATAAAACTCATAAAGTTAATGCTTTTAACAGATTTGAAGTCTACATTATATTTGTGGATATTTTTCAGTAAAAATAAAAAATAATTTGAATTTTAAATATTTTAATTACATTTATTTTTAAGGGTAGTTTATGGTTCGAATGTTTGTATAATTTTTATTTGATTTTTATTTTTCATGGAATAAAAAGTAATATTTTCAGGGAATATTTTTTTATTATTTTTTATTTATTTGCGGTATTTTTTAATAAAATAAAAATAATGTGTGAATTTTAAATATTTAAAAAAATTATATAAAATTGGTTTATTGAGGTTTTTTCAAAATTGTTTATTTAGTGAATATTTATGATGTTTATTCAGTATTAAATTGTTAAACCAGTGTTTTAAAATATTTTTGTTAAAAATGTTTTAAAACTCTGGTATTTACTACTCGTAACTTTATAGATTATAGATGCAAATACCAAATATCATTAAAAGTTATAAAACATTTTCTAAAATTGTAAACGTTTTACTACCACTATGAAACAGACTATTAAATCAAAACATTAGTAAAGTTGATAATTTATAATTAAAAAAAGTTTAAAAATCCTAATGTGACTAGTGTTTCTACCAATCTCAGCAAATAAAATTAGAGAGCGGAACGGGAGCGGGAGTTGCAAATGGAAGAAAACTGGCTTCTTGACCTCCAAAATTAAAAAAATTTCGCCTGCTGCGCTTAAAAAGAATAAAAAGAGGATTTGTTGGATGTCGGAAAACTAACCTCAAAATTCTGATATTCTTTTAGACCCTTACTACAGACATGCTTCGGAGAGTTCTGAAAAAAGTTTATTAATTCATTATATTTTCTTTCCATTCAATCTCATTTCTTTCAAACTTCAATCAATCCAAAAAATTATCAAAAATATTTATCTTTATCTTACAATTTGCCGTGTTTTAAATCATCAAATAACAAAATATTCTGAACGATTAATTTCGAGATATTTAAATCTCAAGGTGTTACTTGTTGAATATGTATATAAATTTGATCACAGCTATGATCACAACAATACATAGACAACATTTGGATTGGAATAAAGCAAATAGACTAAATATGCACCTTAAAAGATTGTATAAAATGCCAAAATAGGTGACATTAATAGGAAAATAGGTCGCAAAAATGGAGAATAGGTTACATAAAAAGGTCGAAAATGTGGTCACAAAAAACAAAAATGCGGACGATATACAATTTTTCGTTTAAAAAATTTAATTGGTAAAATAAAAATAGTAAAATATTTTTAAATCTCAAAATTATCATTAAAAATGATAATTAAGAAAATTTTCTTGAATTAAAGAAAAATATTTTTCCAAAACTTGAAAAAATTTTTTGGGTTGATATTGTAAGGATTTTCAAAAAAGTTTAAAAATTTTTGATAATAAATCTAAATTTTATGAAAAATGCCCAAAATACGTGACAAAAAATTGAAAAAATCATAAAAACATCCAAAATAGGCTACAACCTATTTTAGGTTCTAAAACGCCAAAATAGGTTCAGATAGCTAATAATAACTCCCCGTAAGCTAAAGATATTTAAAAAATAACAACGGATTTGAGCTCAATTCATCGTGACTATTTCGCAGAAAAAATAGGTTATAACCTTAAAATCCGATCCCAACAAATAACATATAAAAGAAGAGAAATGAATGAAATGTGTAGTATAAGAGAAATAAAGCAATAATTTAAAGTGAAATAAAATAGAAAAATATAATATAAAATGAATTCAATAAAATTCATCCAACGTTACCAAAAGAAGGTCCTTAATTGTATATCACATTTGCTACATTTTCGAGGAATTTTGCTTTCTGCGATTTTTCGTTGAATTCATAGAGTATTGCACTTCTAAGTTCCTGAGCATTTTCATAGTACTTCCTTAAAGTTAAATGACAATTTTTTAAATTTATCCACGTTTTTTAAAAAATGAAACAGAAATTATAAGAAGCGCCCAGTCAGCTCAGAGGGACAAAATCTTAGAAGGATTTTAGTATCTTCATGTTCAGCAAGGGTGAGTCCTTATTCGTATTTAAATCCTTATTAATTTAAAATAAAAAAAATTCTCACTTTAATCCTCATCAAATCAGTCATCACACTTTAAAAATAAATCTGCTTAAAATAATATTCCCTTATTGTTCTCTATAAGCTTTCTCGGTCCTAAAATTCAGCTCAATTCCCTTTATTTAGCAATTATAATTTAATGTACATACTCATCGTTTAGAACTAAATCCATAGCTCCTTCTATCTCTGTAAGCATATTTTCACGTTGTACCCAAACACCAATTTCCAAATTTTCTACAATTGCAGAATTGTATGGCTGATCTCCACCAACTGGAAGACATAATAATGGAACGCCAGCATACATGGCCTAGATATTTTTAAAAATTCCTATTATAATAGTTTACCTCAAGTATGCTATTTGCACCACAATGACTGATAAACAATTTCATGTTTTTTCTGGCTAATAATTCCTGTTGCCTAATTTGCTTTGGTTGAGCAACAATATGTATATTTTCAGATAGTATATATTCCGGTAACAAA